GTGTCAGAAACACCAGCAGCAAGACAGACTTGGTCAGATCACGACTTCTCTGGTCCCACGTCTATTAAGGCCTAGACCAGCTGCCTTGAAAGAAGCCACATTTTCATTCATCTGCCCCTTCCCCAGGCAGGACTAGCTGTGCCAGGACCAGTTGCCACAGATGTCAGCCTGCCTTCAGAAGCCTTCCAGCACAGGTTCCACCAATGCTCCAGACAATATCCTCTCCCAATTCACTTTAGCAAGTTTCTTCTAATCCAAGTCTCATTTGCTGCATTTCAGGCTCACTGCTACTTCCTCCAGTCATACCTAATGCAGAGAATAGCATCCCCTTCTAATGTATTTAAAGACTGATGTCTTCCTCAGTCTACCCTACAGGCAAAATATCAGCCTCTCCAACCTTTCCTCCTGAATATATTTTACAGAATTTTCATCATTCTTTTGCGTTTTACCTAGTATTAGCATAATCGAAAAGAGACAACATATTTAGATGTCCTCCTACAGGGCCATACAGTACAAATAAGAGCAAATCACACAATTAGCAATTTTCTTTAAGAGGACCCTTCTTGTTCCCCCCCGACCTCGCCACACCTTTTGATTTAATCCACTCAACAGAGCAGCCCTAACACTTGCCATGAAACTTGCAATAGAAGTACCCAAGCAAGATCCGACATTACCTAGGCACGAACGAAATACATCCATGATAGACTTTTAGGTGGATGCTGAAGTGACAAACATCTTACATAAGGCAACACGATAGAGAGCAGGGGCATTCAAAGAGACTGAATCCAAGTCGTACTATAGGAAACTCAACTCTAACCTCCTGCTTGCTTCATTTTGCAGTATTATTTATTTATTTTACTACTTGGATTGACTTCTCACTCCTCAAATGAACAAAATCCCCAGTTTACAGAAAGCACCTCTACTCACCAGTGTCTAATGATGTGCTGTCCACATGGGAACTGCGCCTGCAGCCCTTTCTCTGCCCTAAACATCTGCAGGTCCCTGAGCTGAGGGAATCATAGATGGAACTAAATTTAGCAGCTCCTTCCCCAGGTCAAAACCCCAGTGTTCACAACAGGGAAGAAGGCAACCTGCCTGGACGTGACATCTCAAAGGAACAGGGATAATGGCAGACTGAACTGCTCTGTCTCCTTGGAATAAATGCCCGTGTGGCTTCCAGTATTGGTGGCTAAGGGGCAGTTGCCTGTTTGGTTGGCAGTCAGAAGCAGAAAACCTACCTACAACTGCAACTGTACGACAGACCTTCTAAAACAGCTGTCTACTCTGGCAGCCTTGGCTGAGAAACTCTCCAGTGTTTAGCTGAGCTTCCCCCAGCAAGCACAGAGGCATTGGATGGAAGGACAACTGTGTACCCATCAAACTTACAACCCGACTTAATAGCTTCTTACCAAATACGTAATTACATGTTTTTCCATAAGCACTGGAACCGTGTACCAAAGCAGGCTACAAAGTTCACCTCCAAATCCAGAAGACTTGGCCCTGGACTTCCCAGCTAAGACTTGTTGGACATTTCTTAGCAGAATGGATCATGTCTTCCTGATGCCCAGGGGCCTTTCCTGGCACGAAAGGAAAAGCATAGGATTGCAGCATAGGCCAGTCACATCCACTTCTTCCCTGCCGCCCCCCTTCATCCTTCGTGTAAACCTACAGACTATTTGCTGTTTCCTTCAATTTACTTCATTAACTGGATTCTCATCCACCTGCTTTATGCTTTTGCTTGCTTGGAGGATTAAATCATGAAGGTGTTAATGCATTAGCTGTACTGGTTTATCACCCTGAAAGCTTAGTGCCCATGGATCTGAAGGTACTGGTCGGATTGTTCAGGGAAAAGACATTTAGTGTACAACATACTTTTGGGACTAAGATCTTAGAAATTTTGTAATCCTTGTAATGGCAATAATAAAGATGAAAACCGCTGAGTTATCTCCGAACATCCTGTCCACAGACACCAAGATAAGAATTGATCAAGACTGCAGAAGAGCTACCACCAACCGTAGCCCAGGGAAGGGGGAAAAGGGGGAATAAAACAATTTCCCACCCAGAAAGTCAATAAAATAAATCAAGAGAATCTCTTACTTTAATAGCAATTTATTATCATTAAAAGTAACAACAAGTAGGTTTAAATTCTTTTGTCTTAAAAACCTAGTGTAACACACAGGTCACTGCTACAGTTCTATGAAACCTATGGCAAAATTGTATCCCCAAATCACACCGTTCTGCCTCATCCTCGTAGACATCAATGGTGTGGGATGCAAACAACACAGAAACAGATCGCTCTGTACAGCACTTGTCTTAATGATGATCATTAGGCCTCAAGATGCTACAAGTTATTCTGCAAGAGCTATTAGGTATAACTTTAGTTTTCCCCTTTGCCAATATTGCTGTTCAATCAAATAATTTGCACAGTTTTTGGTGAAGCCAGAAGAATCTTCTACTAACCTTATTTTTTCCCTGTATCTCTTCTTTGCTGCTGAAGTTTCCCTTTCTTTCTTCCCCCTCCTTAGTGACATGGCTGCCCCATTCCAGGAGACAAAACTGCAGCGGTTTGCAGCTGCTGTCCACACAGATCATGCATTTCCTTCACATTCTGAAGCCAGTGCTCAGCTCTAGCATTGACCTTTCACATTGCTGCCAGAACAACTTGGCACCACACAGTTCAGGAATACTACAAGCTCATGTATTAATCTCCAGCTTCTTGGGAGTTCTAGAGCTTAAGTTAAGCTCCAGCTCAGTACCCAAGATAGCCAGCTTCCAGCTAGTTCAGACTTGTGTGAAGGAGCAGTAGCCAGGCACTGCAGGACAGATGCATCTTCACATTACAGCTGTTCACGAAAAGGCCTGAGCAAATCATAATACTGTTCCTCAGTGGCTTGCAGGACCAAAAAAAGCCTCCACAAGCAAACAGGATGGTCCTAATTCTGTCAAGCATTTAACATGTTGAATTTAAGCTTACAATGTTACTCAATATTCAAAAGTAAGCAGAAGCCTCTGAGTGAAACCTTTCCGGCTAGCAGAAGTGTAGTGAAGGAAGAAACAGACCACAAGTAAACTTTATACAGCTACTCAGTTGTGGCTTGTACATGACTTCAGGTACACAAGAAGGTCTGTTCTTCAGGACCAGACCCCTTAGATCGGTATTTCTGCATGAACTTCACAGTAGCATGTGGAATTGGGGAGCTCAGTGAAAACAAATCAGTAAGCAGCTTTATGTACACCTATATCCACTCTAGATTTAGAAAGTCATGGGAAAAAATATAAACACAATCATAGGATAAACATATGGAGGAGGTACTAGATCAACAGGTTCTATGAACAGACTCCAGCTGTTCTACAACGGCAGCTCACACTCTTCTCTAAGCAGACTCACAAGTTAAACTCCAGGAGAAAAGGGGGTGTTAAATTTACTCAATTAAAAATACATTTTTTGAGTTTGCTCTCAGCTGGATCTCTTGGGAAAAAAAACCAAAATCAAAACAACGCTTACAGCAAAACTGCAAAATCCTGTCTTACCTAACATCCTAAACTACTATCTTGCTTTGTAAATGTACCTAACAGTTTATGAATATCCCACGCTTACTCAATAATACCTTAATGACTTTTAGCTGAGGTAGCCACCAAACCATCACCATACATTAGCGATGCCAACACAAAGGGAAAAGCTCAACTAAGATGCTCAAGAACAGTTAGTTTGCCAAAACCAATAGCACTTGCTTCCAAAAATATCATTTTCTGGCTTGTTCTCCTCCTCCCACCCTTGTTTCACTTCCTGTTTCTCCTCTTGCCCATCTCTAACAAACAGCAACAAGGAAAAATTTAGCTTTCCAGTTCATTTGTAAAATGTCTTTGGATTTTCAAAAGCAAATATTCAAATGAAGAATCAGTGAATTTACTTTTAAATGTCATTTAACACACTGAAAGACAATCTCCAATCCCAACCACTGACACATCAGGTGCCAGCTCTATCATCTTCCTGCACATGCCTAGGTGCTAGAAGCTGTGGAGATGCCTGCATGGGCAAAACACAGAAGTTGTGAAAAGGTCCCTTTCATTGTAAGTTTCATCCCATATATGTAAACACGCAAAGAATCACCTGTCTAATCACTGTCTTTCAAGTACTCAGGAAGTTAAAATAAAATGGCAATCATCATTTCTCTAGCTAAAAAGTACATAGATCTATCATATCCTTGACGTTTCTAGTGGCACTCCTTTCTTAAAATGAAAATATTTTCAAATTACTTCTGTAGCTATGATATATTCAAATTCAACAACAACAACAAAATCAACTTTAAGGATAATTAATACCCTGGTATTTTTGAAAACATTTCCACAATTTTTTTTGTGGTCCCTTATCACAGATCTTTTTCAAGGTAATTCACACTCTACCCACATCCAAATCAACCAACCAATCAACCAAGAAAACCCCAACTGAAAATCAAACGCCCCAATATCTAAGTTGTTTAATACTTGTATTGCAGAATGTACATTCAGGTAAAGTTCTGTAGTGTAAACATCCAGTTCTGACTTCTTTTCTTCAACGACTATCTAAAATTTGAGGGTTCTCTCCATTGTCTAAATACTCTAATGCAACTAAAGGAATGCAAACTCTCACTTCAGATACATTGCATTGACCCAAAGCAGTATAAAACCCCCCCACTTCCAAGACACATACCTAACAAATAAACAAGCCTGAAGAGAAAAACCATGCTCCCATTTTAAAAATAGAGCACTAACCAGTCTGGCGTGCATAATACTAGTTTCTCCATCTAGATTAGATACTGTGTGTATATTCTCAAATATAAAAATAAAATTGTACGAATTGCATGCAACCGTACATAGTGCAGTTCAAGCAATAATGAGGTGTTCTTGTTTTTGTGAAGCATGTGGACAACAGCAAACTGCAGGGTGATACCTGTAATGCAGTCCTTGGGTTTCTTTTTCCACAGAGACACAAAAAGCTACTTTTATTTAAAAAAACTCTAGCCCATAACAGGGAGACATTAAACAATTTAGCTTTGATAACTGTACTGTGAATTTCTGAATTTCCTTGTCCATGTCTAGATTACCCAAACAGATTTTCTTTTAGAAGTCCTTCACTAGAACTCCCTTTTCACAAACGACACACCAAAAAAGTGTTTTCTGTTTTGATTACATACAGTTGTTCATCAGGTGGAAGTAGATGAAGGCTGTTTATTATATTATAAAACTAACCTCATCCTTATGAAGCGTATGTAATACACAAATTAAAGATTCCAGTTAAGCATCACCACATACTAACCCTTCATATTTGTATAAGATGACCAGCTATGAAATTGCAACTACTGAAACTGTACACGGGCACCTTGCTATATCATACTTATGTTGTCGTTCTCTTTTTAAAACATTCCACAACCACCTCTGCATTCGGGTCATTTTTGTCCATTTCATCTATTCAGCCGCTGTGTTACCACTTCTCGGTACATGATAGAGATATATATCAGCAGAAGAAAAATGACGAAGAAATCATCCAAGAACCCCAGAATTCCAAACAGGGCTTCAGGAAGAAAATCCAGAGGTGAAGCCAGGTAGAGCAAGGCTCCAAGCAAGCAGAGGAATATTCTGATGCGAAACATCCAGAAGAGGCCCCCAACAGAAAACATCTCCCTGAAAGCATGCCGCAATAAAGTGGGCAGGTCCATAATTCTTTCCATAATCTATGAAGAAAAAAACCCAAAAGTTAATATTTTGCTTTAGTAACAGGCCCATTCTAAATGGGTCTTTTTTTTTAACTGAAATTTCTATTACTACATTACAGCTTTGGAATCTGTTAATTTATAAGAATTAAAACAACAGTAAGACAAGACTTTCTGGATTTAGTTTTGCTGGGTAAAAAGTCAGACTCAGAAAATATATGATTTCAAGAAACATTCAAACTGTGTTATTCTACACTGTAAAACATACATTTAACTCACTACAAAACACATTGGCATCTATTGAGAAGGAAAAGCAGTGACTAATAGACTAAAACAAATGACTGAGAAAGTGAGAAACAGCAAACAGGTTAACTGGAGTGAAATATGGATCAGAATGGAAGACAAATAGGGATTGTGAGAAAAAAACAATAGGTAAAGTAGAATAGGTTGCAGTTCTTCAGAAACAGAACACACCCTCCCCTGGCATATAACCAGTCATTGATATAAGTTTCCAATGGATGGATCAAGCTTCAAAGTAAAGTAAAGAATCTTTAAATTAAGCCATCCCTGGCTCCCTTCTGTTTTTCTACTATGATTCTGTGATCTTACTGAGGGACTGCTCAGTAGAAAATATTCAGGGTTTTGTTGTGAGGTGTAAGGAGGGGGAATTTTAAATTTTTTTTGATACTGGTTCCTTTTCTACTGTACACAGTTTCTGCACAGGACCATGACATATAAAATGAGTTATTGCCAAGGATGAAAAAGTTCTCTAGAAAGGAATTTTGTATGTAGTTAAGGAAATACACTGTGTATAAATTAAAGACAATTTATCTAGTCCAATTAGGGCTTTAATGCAGACTTCTGGCATGACCCTAGACAGATTACTACGGACTAGACACAGAGCCCATACAGAGGTTTATTGGAGCCTGAAAGGTAGTTTCAATCTATTCTAGATCAAAAGCATAACTGTTTTGTAGGGTTTAGAACGTGAAAAAAAAACTCCCATCTCACACTTCTTTTGTCTCCTTGGACTGTAAATTTTTCTTGCCAATGTTTTGTTGTTATATCCAAATCCAATGAACAGATGAAGACAAGCAGGGAAGTTACTAGTATGCATGTGTATGCATTTCACCTTGTGAATCAGAACACGCATATAGAAGACAGGCTTACAAGGCTGACTTTCTAAAGTTCGTAGAACTTCAATCATCTCTCTTAGCTATTTATCAAAAAAATCCTGTTTTCTTCACTCAGAGAGCAGAATAAAGACTGTAATATAATCCAGGAGGAAAATTAAAAAATGAAGATGGCATACAGATTGAAATCTGAGGAAGAAAGGCACAGAGAGAACTTCAGATTCTTCTAATCAGTGTAAAGAGATCAATCAAGTGAATAGTCTTCCTTGCAGTTCATGTATTTTCATTAAGTATTTTTACTGAGTAATTATTAATCTTTTCAAATTAATGAGTCATAATTAAAAAGCTTAACACATGAATAGGGAACTCCAGGCTTATTAGCAGTTCTCACTCACAACAAAAATGCAAGTTTCCATATATTTCCACAAATTACAAATAAATACTTTCAAAGTTGTGGGTTTGCCATAGCTATATAAACATGAATTTCCAAAGGAAAACTTGCATAGTCCCTAAGTATCAAGAAGTGAAAATTCATATCCCAAGGGGGAAAAAAAAGAAGGAAAAAAACCCCATGAAAAATGCTGTGAATCTCCCCTAAAATCACTAACTTCCACTCAAATTTACCCCAGACTTACAGATCTGGGCTGTCCTGAGAATCTCCGATTGTAATCATTAACATCTTGAAACACTTGGGCTGCATCCTGCTCATCTTCACCAAAGAGTGGTAAAAACAATGTTACCTAGGCACAGCAAGGGAGATTTTGTTACATATGCAACTGTCTTTTAAATGCAGGCATTGTGAACTATAAATGAAAACAGTAATTTTCAGTTAACTACATAGAACAAACTTCGGTTTAATTGAATATTTGGTAGGAAAATAAAATGAAAACTACTAACATGGATACTGCTGCAAAGTTTTAACAAAGTCATTGCTTACAACTCTTCACAGAATATTATTTTTTTGAAAGATTGTTAAAAACAAGCATAAGAACCCTCCTTCTAAAAGAGGCTTACAGGAAATTTTTCTAAACACCTATATGGTTTATGTTTCAGAAGTGAGACAGATGATTTGTAGAACAATTTACCAAATTAAACTAGTGTTGTTTCTTAAACTGAACATTACATAAAGCAATCACTGAGGCTATTCTTCCATCTTTAGATGCATCTCAGCAAACAAGCAGCAAAACTCATATTTTTCCTTATGGACATTCATACCAAGACCAAAGAGAATAATACAGAATAGTAAGTTAACTCAAAAAGATATTAACCTTCATCTCTTTTGTAAGAACAGAGAATTTTGCTATGTTCTAGGGTTAACTTTGACGCAAACATAGAAAAATATGTAAGGTCATATTCACATATATCTTATGTTACCTTTCTGTATAGGAGTTTCTGAAAACTTAAGATTTGTATTTGGAAGCGATGTTCGGGTATAAAATGCAGATTATGAGAGGAAACAGAAAATGCATAGCACTTTAAATTATTACAGTCTTCAAAAGCTTCCTCTGTACCTGGCCACTAAATATGTACGCCCTATCTGTGCAGCAGTCACATTCAGCAAATGAGAGCATGAACATATCTACATTCACAAGCTCCTAGCTCAGATCTACATTCATGACCTCCTAGCCCTGCCACAAACGTTCTGTATGACTCATGTTGTTCATGTGTACATACTTCCATCCCCCATTTGTAAATCAGACCTTACTTTTCTTACTTCACAGCGTGAGAATGAACACATAACGACGCAAGCAGTACCACCCAATTTACCCATTACTCAGAGGAAGGTAGAAGAATATCTATGTAAGGAGACACATTAGAAAAAATTAATTATTTTCCCCTTTTCCATGTTCCTCACCTTTATTTTTTCTGTCTCTCTCCTCACTGGCTACATGCTAAACCTACTAATTCTTCCCCTAGTAATACTTATTTTTCTTTCCTTCCTCTGTCTTCCCACATTCATTTGTCCTGCTGATGCACACAATCAAAGCAGGATATAATGTATGGGCAAGGGCATGAAGTATCTTATACAATTCATTAGAAGTTACTAGTAGCTCTGTAGTTTGTGCACTGTTAAAATAAAGATGTACTTTTGTTAAAACATACACTATAAGACTTGGAGATCCTAAGTGTTAATGAGTTACAGGGACATATTTCAAACTGACAATGTAAGTAAGTTGCGTAGGAAGTAAGTTAATGCTTGCTCTACAAAACTCAAATTAATAATACATACAAACTAAAAATAGGGACAAAATAAGAACTTGACATGCGTAGGGTTTTTTGGCAGGGAAAGAAGGAAGGGAGAGGGTACTTCTCAGAAACCAGTAGTATACTGCCTACTGGCAGTCTTCCACAACAGCCAGGTCTTTCAGATGCAAGTTCTGGTAAAGAAGTTATATAGCATCCCAAACAGAAAGCATGGAAGAATCATAGTTAAGATCTTATGATTTTCTGTTTTCATATACTTCTTTACAGAAAAACGGCTAAGTTATCAGCACTATTCACTTAAATTTGAGTTGCAGGAACAATCTGTATTTTTTGAGCCATTGAGCAAAGCAAAAATTTCAAAAAAACTTAAAGTCCACCATCTATGTCTCACATAACCATGTTCTTTCAGTTTCTCAGACTTCTTCTTCTGTCCATCTCACTATTGCAGTTCACATGTTAAGTGCTTTTTTGGTGGGCTATACTAGATGGCCAAACTATCAGGTCCATGATTACTTAAAATATTACCGTTTGTCTGCAGATTGGACAACGGATGGCACCAAGCCATGAGCCATACCTCCAGTAGGCAATAATGCAGGAACCTGATGAAGGTAAGTTACAGACATTTAAACATATTGCATGAAATAATGTTACATACCAAGGAAAACAACAGAAGTGTATAAGCAGTTAGGTTAAATCTATCTTTTCTGGTCTAATTTTATATACAGCATTCACTGGAGATATCAAGAACCGATGTGTTCAAATTTAATGCTATTAATGAGAAAAATCCTGAATAGGTTCAACTGCATCATTAATTCTAAGGTATTATTTCCTGAAAAGACAGAAAACTTCTTAATCATTAACTGAAGAAGCAAATAATTAAAAATTTTACCAGTTTAAAATTTAGAAGTCACTAACCTGTCAAGAGATGTAAAATCTATCCTAAAAACCTGGCTTTATTATCAGAGTTTCAACAGACAAAGGAATATATAAAAATCTGAGTACTGTGTCTTCCAAATTCGTAAATTTTTTCGTTTAAATGATGAGGTATGGTATGGACTATATACTCCATAAACTAGATGAATGCAGGGAAAGAATTGTACTGGGAACCTGAAGGAGAGGAAGCAAAAATGCTACATAGAGCATTTATACATAAATTTGAATAGCTGGACCTCAAAAGAAAAGACAAACACTTTAAGCATTGTAAACTTGGCCTTAATTCTTCAGGACTTCCAAGAAAAAAACCCACCACTCTAAGATACAGATAACACCAAGCAGATTTTTTTACTCTAAATCAGTTTTTTTTAATGGTACATTTCCAAGTGTTTTTCAGCCTCTTCAGTATTTTACTAACTGGAAATAAATTATACTCTCTGTCCTTGACATTTTTAAATTTCAATCCTGATAGCATAGGAAAAAAATGCAGCACACTCTCAAAGCGACTGTTTATTCACAAATGTATTTTCTCAACAATCTATATAAAAATATTTCTAATGCAGACTAGAAGAGAAGCAGTTAAAATCAAACAAAGCTTTGCATTAGGGTGACTAGTAGTACCAAAGGTACATTTCTGTTCTGGTTTTATTTTTGTATTTCTGTTCTGGTTTCATTTTTGTATTTCTGTTCTGGTTTTATCTTTGCATCTTGGTGTTTTTCCTGCTTACCACAGAAGAGATGTCCACAGTTTGTTTCTATAGGAAACGTAGCCTGTTGCAAACAGACTGGGCAGGACATATCTGTATAGAAGTGATGTCTATCACCAGCAGAAGCATCCTGCTGGAACAGAAGAGAAATGCAAAGTGTTAGAGATACTATTTTTATATAAGTCTACGGAGTTTAAAAAAATAATAACAAATCCAGTGTTCATTTACTAGAACTCAAACAGTCAAATGCAAAACTATGTGAAATGAAAGAGAAATATATTTAAATTCAAAAATCAAACATACTTAAATGCAAAAACTGATTCACTAAGCAAGTTCTTCTTGTGACAAACCCATTATTTTCCTTTCATCTGTTATATAAGTATGTGCTTCAATCCAGTTAAAGACTGCAAAGAAAGAACCTCTTTGGTCCTTCACACTAAGTTAGGTTAGATGTGCTGAAGCATGAATAACAACTCAGATTGAGACTGTTATTTCATTATCCTAAGTAGTTCTGTCCAGAGCCAGGTAACTAAACTGCATCACTTATCAGTTGCAGTATTTAGCGTTCCCAAGCAAAGCATAGACATCAGCTTGTGTATGTCACTGCCATGAAACAGTTTTTCTCCCCATTTTGCCATATTTGTCTTCCATATAAATATGCACTGTAGTTAAAAATCTGTCATTATTTCAAGAAGTATTATGATGAAAGACTCTCCTCAATACTCTCCAACAGTATGGCTTTTCACTCTACGGCTGGGATTCAGCAATTTCCAGTAAACTGGCGTAGGCCCTCCCATCCTTTCCTCTACATGTCAGAACTGGATGCAATCATAGAACCATAGAATGGTTTGGGTTGGAAGTACCTTTAAAGATCGTGTAGTCCAACTCTCTTGCCATAGTCAGGGACATCTGTCACTAGATTAGGTTGCTCAAAGCCTCATCCAACCTGACCTTGAACACTTCCAGGGATGAGGCATCCACAACTTCTCTGGGCAATCTGTTCCAGTGTCTCACCACCCTCATCATAAAAAATTTCTTCCTTATGTCCCATCTAAACCTAAACTGTTTAAAACCATTGGCCCTTGTCCTCTCACTAAAGGCTCTGGTAAAAAGTTCTCTCTGTCAATCTTTGCTGCCTGGCTCTTGTTGCTGTGCCATTGTTCTGCTACACACAGTTTATCAGTCTAAACATCTAACCCCCGTCCTGTGGCAACAAGCTGTACTCCAGATTTCCTTTCCTTTACCACTAAGTTCCCAGGAACATTGCAAGAAGCACACAACGTAATCTAACATACTCCACCTGGTGGCAAAACCTTGTTTGAAAAAAGTACCAGCCAAATAATTTTAATTACTTAACATCCATTAAAAAAAGCCTACGTTATATTATTATTTATAAATTTCAAGGATGCCTCTGTAGAATAAGTAAGCTTCCATAACTTTCAAGACCAGCTTCTTCCAGAAGTCTACACTACCCCAAACCACATAGTTGAATGATACCAACACTTAGCACAGCACCTGCTCAGTTTGAAGCTGCTGACGAAGAGCTCGCACTAGCTCTTGATTTTCTGGGTGTATGTTCTGATGTTCATTTCTGTGGAAGGAAATATAAGCAGTAAGGAAAACTGAACACTGTGACCCAACACTGAAAAAATAACTGATTGAAAAAAATGAAACTTGAACAAAGGGCAAAAAATCGTTCTTTCCTGCTATAATGGTTTTTAAAGGAAGTACACAAATAATTAAGGAAACAGGACATTTATTCTAGATCTTAAAACTAGTCTGGACATTTAAAGCTGTACAGCAGCAAGATTTTTCAGAGAGACTCCGTAATCAATCATTAAATGATGATAAAACTAGATTTTAATCTGAAACAAAATGAAGCCATTAACCTGCAAAAAATCAAGTTGCTTGACAGCTTTTACATTCATCTTGCAGAAATATTTTTAATTTTTGTCTTCACTGCTAGTTTTTGTATTGTTGGTTTACTTGTAATTTCTTATTTTTTTACTCACTGCCAAAGTTATAGTTGAAAAATCTTAATTATTTCAATTTTATCTGTACATGAAAGATGAAGACATAACATTTACATAAGAAGGGGTAGGCAAATTCTTAGATTTAGAATGTTGAATTTATGTAACTATCAGCAGACTGGTTATAAAAAGAAATCGCTCTTTTTAAATCACTCCTTAAGAAAAAAGCCTCTACGGGCAAGAAAACTATAGGTTAGAGATGCCAAGGGGAATCATAGGGAAGGGACTCACTGAAAAAGGGGGCTGCATATATTACAAGTTTGAAATTCACAAGCACAATGGGAACAGAATTGTAATTAAAAATGATGCTGACAACATTAAGGGGTGTTGAGTTACAATAAATATGAGTCAACAGCATCAGAGTATTCAAAACTGTGAATTTTTGTGCTTTATTTATTCATATGGATCTCATTGGTGATACATTCTGCGCAGCACTGTTGAGGTCTCAGTTGAATTTTGTCTTCCATTTTTATGCTAAATGCATAAAATCATGTAGAGAAGCTGGAAGTTCAGAAGAGATTAAGAATACTGCCTGCAGTTTTTAAACATTAGAGAAAGAGTGAAGAAATGTCAGTTCATATAGAAGACTGCTCATGGAGAGAAAAGGGGACAGGATAAGGCTTTCATTCTATGAATATGAGTAATTATTTCCCACAGTTATCTACACTGGTGGAAAAACATTTCTAACACTAAATGTACAAAATCAGAAAATCTTACCTCAGACCATTGTGATCTATCTTTGACTAAACATTAAATCAAAAAACAGGATCCACTACTTCCAGGGATGATATAGGCAAGCTGATCCTCTGTCAGAGCTGAGGGCTGGACTGGCTGAATTTTTAGGACATTTTCTGGTTGCAGTTCTATTTACATAATTTCCTTGATGGCTTTAGAGGCTTCTGCAGTATTTTCTTTCATTTGATGGGGGCAATAATAATACTGCATTACTGCTATCTTTAATATTTTGTATCCTTCATTCTTTCTTCAAAGAGGAAGAGACAAACCTCATATTTTTCATACTAATAATTACATTGTTATCTGTAAAAAGTAAATTAATTTAACACTAATGTGGGTGACATATATGAAAGTTATATGATGGGAAGCTTACACTAAAACCCTTCTTGTACACCCTGGGTCTCCATGAGTCAGATTTTGTGGATGTTGTCTGTCATATATGTTATATATATAAAAAAGTATTTTCCTGTTTAGATGCTACAAATGAGCACATTTTGCATCTTCAGTTTGCCAGAATTTTGATATATATTGAAATTCAATTCAAATCACACACAAGTGGAAGGTGTGAATTATCTGCCACTCTGATTCCATCATAAACATCTAATTGCAAATTTGCTGCTAAAGTGTTCATTTATATGACTTTACTCCGGTATCACGTTCTACATTGAGTACATGAGAGCATTTGTAAAGCTGTAGAGGCACAGTATGTACAACATCTGTCACTTATGCATAAGATGCTGAGGTAGCAGAACACTGCACAAAGTCCAGGAGGGGACAGGCAGAGCTCAAGACATACCCAATTCATAACTTTGGCTATGCAATCAGTGTGAGAAAACAAATAAAACAAATGAAAAACAGTATGGTGATATGTAATTAAAAGCATTATCAAACACAAGGCAGAAAGAAAGAAAGTTAGATGCGGAGTCTTTTAACTTCCCCATTTCTGAGTGTTAGCGCTCTGTAACTTGAGGAAAAAAGTCCCATGACATGGAAAGATTGTACCATGTATCACAAAGGGCTCCACCAAACTATCATTACCAGAAGGAGGAAGGTTGCATACTGATTCAGTGTGCACTCTCACACATTGAAAGTGAGGGACAGCACTTATGGGGACTGGTGTATCATTGTGCACTGATGGCCACGATTAATTTCCAAGGATTAAGATCTCACTTCTGCTGAAAATACTGACTTGATCTTATAATCAAACCATATGATGAGACAGAAAAATAAGAGAAAAATATCTAAACCTGCAGATTCATAGACATAGGTTAGATAAGTCATCTGGGACAAGTGAGGAATCTCTGATACAAAACACTGCAGGGTCAGGCTCCCTTTAATTTGTTGGATAAACTAAATTTTCAGAGTCTCATTGTGACAATGTGACAACCTAGTCACAAGTTTAAAAGATGCATTTTATCAAAATTTATAACTTAAAGACATACAGGCTTTTCAAAAGTATCTTATAGTGACTGAACTAAACATCTGCAACTTGGTATATATGTTAATTACTGCTAATAACTTTCTCCACCAAAAGCAGACAGACCTTCAGCACATGCCTTGATGTGATGCTTCATTTAGTTCTCCCTGCTGGAAACAAATATAGCAACCATATCCCGTAATAGTTCTTTCCATATTCCACTTTTGCTCCCCCCCCCCACTGTAACATACACCCCTTGCTGCCTACTTTCCTTTTTGATTCAGTTCCTGCAACCTTATTCATTACCCTAAGCTTTCTTTCATGTATCCTTACCCAGGACCTGTTCCTGCCCAACTTAAATATTTCAGATGTTGCATACAGAAGTATGGGTGGCAAAGAGACCGGGGTAATGGACACAATATAAGAAACACACAGACCACTGCATTGCCTATGATAACCAGAGAAAAAAAAAGAAAATACTCCTTTTCTCCCCTACTCCCCTTCAGTGCTAATGAAATAAAAATTACTATACATTTGGCATTGTACAGATTTTGTATTGTATTGTGCAGATTTTGATGGAGACAATACAAAGGAGGTAGAGGAAAAATAAATGCTGGTGAATACAGGCAATTTCAGAAGGTATCAGAAGGCACAGCAGAGAGCTAAGAGGATGCTGGTAGGACATTCAGTTGTCAGTCATACAAAGCAGAAGTAAAAAACCTTCAAGACTTCCGAAATATGAAAGCTTTGTGTCTGAGTTTGTGTCTCCAGAAAATAAACGATCAGGGTATGTAACAGGATCTACAGACAAACTTTTTACTTAGCCCATCACACTGCAGAGGTAGTTAGTAACGAGCCCTTTTCTCCCTCCCCAAGTAATCCTTCATCATTGGTGTATCATTTCCCTGAACTCCAATCCCGAGTGAACGCCCACTACTCTTGCCCACTGGTGACTCTTGTTCCACTTGCTTTTTTTCATGTTCCTAACTTACTTTCCTTTATAAAGTAAAAAATTAAAATGTTTACTTTTAAACTAAGCACTTAAAATTCAAATCACAAATGCTAAAATGTCAATATAAGGGGTAGAGAAAGCACAAGAGAGCAGAGGGAAAAGAGGCACTCTTGAAACCATCTGAATAATTGAAACGGCCTTGGAAATAAAACCAAAGTGAAGTGCATATGTTTCTATTAGATTCCTTTGCTACCTCCTGGTCCTGAGCAGCAGCACTGCCTTGCAGTTCAACCAAGCTTTCCCATTTCTAGTTTCTTTTGTAGCTTGCCCTCAAATACCTCCTACCCTGCTAATACTTCTCATATGTACAGATCCTACTCAGTAAATTCCATAATGCCAATGCTTCATTAAAATTGAGTTCTCTTAGTTGTTAAAACTCTTGTGTTCAGAAGCCTACAAACACCAGTAAAAAGAAAAAAAAGACCCAATCTGAATGAAGCTTGGACTTATTTTCCCAAAACACTTTGATTACATGACCATTAAAGTGATTGAATTCTGAACATAACATTTTGCTTTATGGAAAGCATATTATAGTCCATTGTTTTCCAGCATATTCATTTATAAACAAATCATAGAATCCTATCGGTCAATTTATTTAGGTTTGGGGTTTTGTTTTTGTTTTTTTTTTTTTGGAAGGAGATGGTAACTAGAACTTACATTGGAAGATTATATCCAATCTTAATTGTGGAGTCACTATTGACAAATCTGTACTTTGTAACCAAATATGACACACCAGCCATATAGGCTGTGAATTCAGCCATTTTCAGTCTTAAGGAATGATGAACATTATTCAGTCTGATCATCTGAAGAGGAGTTAAACTTCACTTTTGAGAAATGCATAATTTCATTCTAACTGTGAATTAAATTATGAAACTCTGCTAAGCAATCAGTTAAACAGAGTAAGTGATCAAACAATGATTTCCTTAATGTCACAAAATCACAGTTGTTTTATACACCAATGCAAAAATTTGTTCAGAAAGTTAGAATTTTACAAATGCAGGTATATTGATTAATTCCTGTCAACATATTCTCACCTTAAAAGCGTATATACCAGAGCAGCAATGAAAGTGAAACTGAGCACAACTGCCACCAGTACCTGGTCACTTATTCCTTCTATAACTGAATCATTATCTAGCTTCAAACTCTGAACTTCTGCTTGGTGACTGGCCATCACAGCTCTAAAATGTAAAAAGATAGATATACATATACATTCATATATATATATTAAAACATACCTGTGCACACATACATTTTAAACATAGTTACAAATAATATGTATACACATCTATTGATACACACAATAAATTCCTGAAGCAACAGGCTAGTCATTTCCGGGGAAAAAAATGGTACAAGAATAAGGAACAGATGCATTTTTACCAAAGAGTGAGCTTGCTGCAGAGGACTGCAAAACATTTTCTTGCACAGTAGCAAACAAGTCTTAAATGACTGTGTTGTGATCTAAAGAATTTTTTTTAAAAAAAAAAACTTCAGTCAGATATTTTATTTGGGAATCTTTACCAGATAACTTGCCTAGGAATAGGCCATTGCTGAATTAGACATATTCTAAGGACAGTTCATTTAAAAAAATTATAATGACTCTCCATTATCAAGAATTTTAGCTATTATACAACACATCGTTGCTGCTAGGCTGATACAATGTAGAAACCTAATTTTCACCACTTATGTGAAGAAAGAAACGACATTTGGGGTTTAGCTGTTTTTAGAGTGTTAAATATCCATTTGGATACACAGAAATCACCTGATAAGCTTTATTTTTTATCTGTCTTTTCTATGCGTTACCATCCTTCAGCTGGAAGCACGGGAAAAACTTGAAAGAAAAAGAGCATTATCAGGCTTCGCTAGTTAGACTCGGTTGTTTTATATTAATTTCACATAAGCAAAATCAGAATGACTTGCCAATGCTAACATTTATTAACCTATTAATAACCTCCAGCATTAACCTACTGCTGGAGACATGCAAAATAAAATAGTTTCCAACACATTGCTAGATCACTCCTGTTACAATCAGGAAGTGAAATTAACTGCAGCTGTGAATATTACGAAACCAGGAGAGTGAAGCTAACTCTGGCAAATGACCAAAAAAGTCATACTGAAGCTGTTTCCATACACAATTAAGTATTTTTCATACAGAGCTGACATAAAATCTCAGCATCAGTTTATGAGGTCAGGTAAGACTGGTGTCATTTACTTTACTTCCTCATCCAGTGTGTGTGTCTTAAACTTGCAAGCTTTCATCAGTGTTGTTCTCTACTTCACAGCTCATGTGCCATTTTTTAATTTGAACCTTTCTGTCTAGCAAACATCACCAGACACTGTCTGGCCCTGAATTAATTGCAAAACTGAAATGGAATACAAGTCATCCAGATTTTAGTGGATACCTGTAATCACTACCCTGGCAAGATTTCAGTATGCCAGTCTACTGCTAGTATAAAAGTGTCATCTTTTCCATAAGATAGCTACTTTCACGCTCCAGATCTTTTCTTGTACGAGTTGTGGAGCTTTTTGCAAGCTTCTTTAACTTGTGGGAGCTGCCCTCTGTAGCAGCAATGCAAGAGAATCTGGTATATTCTACGATTATTGTAAAAAACAGTAAGTGGTATAAATAAGTACCATAAGAGCAGAGAAAACTCATGGAGAACGAAGGGTAGATTCCTTTAATTATTGTTGTATTTTTGGGCTTCCACTGTGAAAAACAAAATGAAACATACATGAAGTCAAACAAACTAGGTTATGCAAAGTGTCCCAATCTGAACTGAGACTATTATTTCTGTAACCACAGTCAGAATTTTTGCTAATTACAGCTTTCCACAAGCAACCGTGTCATAGTCTGAAATGTCAATTAGTATTTGCAAAGAGTAACTTCTCTGAAAGGTAGAACATCAGCGACTCATCAAGAGCCAGGTTTAAAGTAGGTCGATATTGACACAGGTTTCATGTATATCAATGAATAAGAGGCCAGATCTTTGTGGAAAGGTCTTACATAGGAAGAAGAGACTACACAAGGAGTTACAGCATTTCTCTGTGTAGCTAGTTACACAATTATATTGCTATAGTTAAAGCCATGAGCCTAAGGAGTTGTGGAAGTTTTCTGCGCAGCAGTTCCTCAGTGCTGAGGATCTGGATTGGTAGGTGTGCTCTGACGCCTTCGCAGCTCAACATTCCCAACCTGTACACTTTATTTCTTTGCATATCCAATCCTGAAGAAGCTTCTCTCTCTTACAGTACATCATTCTGGGACACTCATTTTCCACAGCTGTGTCCCAGGCAGCATGTTTGTATCTTCAACTCCTATATTTTCTCTCCTTAAGTACCATCATCAGTCCACTAATTTTTACTGCGTCACACTGTCATTTCTGGGTTGACCACTCAGTACAAAACCAGAAGTAAATGGCAAGAAACTGGTATGTGATGATTCCTCCATTATCATGCATCAGCTGTGTTAGAATAGACCAACATGCTAAAAACAACTACATACCATTAAATATTAAGCATTTTTTCAGAAATACACACTGTGGCAGAGACATATAGATGATTTAACTGCACCTTTGGGAGGCAAGTGTTTCTCACACTGACACCTGAAGGGCTTGCTGTGTCACTGCTTGCTTGGTGCACTCTGAAACTATACATGAATTGTCAGTATCACACAAAGTTAACTCAGCTTCCCTGAACAGCCTTCAAGATATCCACTCTAGAGCTCTCTCCCCCCCTCTGCATGCTCCTTGCAACAAGACACTCAATCCTCATCTGCCTATTGTTAAGAGCACTCACTACATCTGCTTGCCTTCATTTCTGCTCATGCACTCTTCTTGAAACACCAAACAGTTAGCAGCAGTATACGAGTAAGAAATACACAGATCCTCACTGTCTCTTCCTTCTTGTCCATAACGCCAGTAACTTGTATCTACTTCACTCCTTCACTTACCACATATGACTTTCCCAATAACCATTTTTACACAAACTTAGTGTCCAAAAGAAATTCCTACACAGTCTTTCTGGCTACATAAAATGCCACTCCCTCAAACATTTTGTCTTCACTTACATACCAACACTGCCAGGATGTATAGAGGAGGGAGTGGAATCTCTGCCTCAGTCTCTATCCCAGCTGCTTCTGTTACTAAAATCTAGAGAAGAAGGGCTACCAATGCCTAAGGCTCATGTTGTTCATGTTGTAACTTACTTGCTGCTTCTGGAGAGCCAACGAGTGACCCTCATTACCTCTAGCACTTTTTCTGAATCTGATCATTGCACAGGAGGGCTGACATGAATTGTGTAGACTAGGAACTACAAACAGAAGGGTTTCACTTCAAAAGATCAATACGTACTTTCTCAGAATAGTCATTCAAGCCTCAGTAGAGACAGTAACAATCTACTCCTACTCTTATCTCTGGGTTGGCGTGTAAAAAAAGCAATGGCTACAAGGAACGCACTGCTAAAATATACCATTTGAAAATTGTCTGATTGAAGGAGGAAGGAATTTTATGATCTCAAGTCTGTGTCGAACATTTTCAAACAAATTATCTAGAACTGCAAGCTTGCAGTTTATGTTTCTTCAGGTGCAACCACAACAGCCAATGAACACATCTGCAGTGATCTGAACGCGTAATAACTAGCCAAGAGTCCTACAACACCTGCTAAAGAATCTTCCCTCCCAGTGCATGTGTTTAGCAGTGGTGCTGTTTCAGTTGGTACAATTAATAAGTAGACCATAGGAGACTTAATTCTTAAATGATGTAATGAAGACCCTTCAGTCTTCAGGGACTACCAGCATGGACAATGACTAAGTCTATGTCAAAGAAGACTTCTAGAACCAGACTTTATCACAGACTTCTAATCTCTCCTAAAATAATAACTGGTAATAATTGATATGGTTCGTATTAAATTCAACCTTTTTAATGCTGATCCATTACATTTGTCTGGTTATCCAAAAGTAACAGTATTTTGTCAACCTTTTCATCATATAATCCTTTTCAGATCAGCGTTCTACATCACAGGCTTTTCAGACATCAAATAATTTTAAAGATGCTCTTTTTTCTCTGTAGATTTATACTACTTTTGTTTGAAAAAAGTACCGCATTAATAGAATGACTTCAAGAAAAAAAAAGGCAGTAATTGAAAATAGATTAAATTTTGAGAATTGATTTTTGGTTATACTTAGGATTTTTTCTCCTTCTAGCCATTTAACAAGGATAGCTTTCTTAAATGAAAGCATAAGCCCATGCTGTGTTCCAATTAGGGACTGAAAACCAAACTATCTAACAATACTCACATCAAAATTGGAATTTATACAATCAACTTCAGAATGTTAGAAGTACCAGTTGCAAAGTTTAAAAATCCAACAAAAATGTTAGGCCTTTTACCTACTTTAAAAGCAACAAAAAAAGAGCCCAAAACTAATTTCCAGTTTCATTTCATCTCGTCTTCAAACTACTAGCACTTGCTTGATGTAAAACAATACAACTGCCCAGTGAGGGGAAAAAAGTCAAGGAGTTACTCCTCTGTTCCACTTGAGCTAGCTAAGTTACAACTGGACTTTGCAGCACAGTACTTAGACTGGGATCAGGTTTATCTGCATTAGGATTCTTGAGAGCTACAGAATGTAAACAACCTCAGACTGAATCGTCCACAAAGTGCCTGGAAATAGAAGGGAATGGAATTTATTGTTTGTAAAATCATGCAGTTTTGATTGTAAAAACTCAATCTGAACACAAGATCACCTTTTTTATTATCAGTTTTTCTGAGAGTGATCCCTGACAGAAAACACCACTAATTTATTTACATTTCAAATAAGAATCTGCAGGCCTTAATAGTTACATTTCTCCCTCTATGCTTAAGTATGAACAATGCATGCAGGTTTATGCAAAAGAAAGGAGAACCATAACAAGCAATACTGCAATTACAATGTCTTTTATTCTTAGAAACTCATACAGATCACATTGAAATGTGAGGGCATGAGGATATACACTACTGTGGATGTATTATTTCTTCATTTTTCAGATTTGAAAAGTATTATGAAGACTTTCAATGTACAACATATGGCACAGCTAGAAAAATACCCCATGCCATGATTTATAAAGAAATGAAAAACAATCTAGTGTTTGCCATGATATATTGAACACTTGTTGCCAGTTACCCAAAGTCAGATTATCCCCAATCTGAAGGATTTGAACTGTTCCAAGTTTATCAGGGAAGTACCATATGCTAATACACTCTCAAAAACACAGAAATTTTAGGACCCACTACCAAAGGAATATACAAGCACAATGAAAAAGAAGTAAGAAGCTCTCTTCACGTTTGAGAAGTAAACAATGAGATAATACACAAGCAATACTGCTGTGAGATACAAATTAGTAACCAAGAACAACATTTTATTGATTTTGAGAGCATGGTACAATTTGCTCAAACTGTGGAAGATACATTGGATAACAATGTGTCCTTCCAGGAACTGGAGGGGAGTGAACTGGGTGGGAACAATAGGGTTTGGGGTTTTTTTACTTCATTTTTATTTTGAGTATTTTCTTCTTGATGCAGTACTGGCGACCACCCTCAGTGCTTGAAAAAAATTATAAAATGAAGACAGTGTTGGTGGGCCAGGGTGTAAGCCAGAACCTCTAATTTCTTTTGCCATTTGTCTTTTATTAGCAGAAGCATTATCCCCCTCCTTAAAAGTGCTGCTTAATTTGTAGAGATTGTGTGTTTTCCAGGATAAATTAATCCCTCTCCAACTAGTAAAATACTATGAGTCACATTTTTTTAAGACCAAAAAGGCTTTAACTCCTCAAAATTTTCTTCCATGTTAAGAGGAACAAAAAAAAAATTGGTTGCATTCTTACCAACAGGTTTCTAGTACGATTGACCTGTTTTAGATAACAGAAATCAACTTTTAAGAATTTAAGCATACTAACATGGAGCATTTTTATCCTGTAACCCACTCCCTGCATGCATGTTAGCTTATATTGAAATATCTAAGTCATAAATTTACTGTTTTTCTTTCATTTAAGAGAAAAATAGACATATATTCCCAAAACAAAAGACAAATTCCTAAATGTGGTGCAATAATTGAGACCTTTCTCATTAGAATTTCTCCAAATACTTCCTACTTCAGGATAGCAGCAGGTTGTGGCCACTGTCTGTGGTTGAGAATGAGACTTTGTGAATGGATTTGACCCAGCAAACTGGATCCTACAGTTATTTTTACCCTCCTTCATAAAGAGCTCAAAGGTATGCCTAGACTGCATTCAGAAAGCATTAACAACAACAGCCATTAAGCATGCATGATGAATAGTAAATGTATAAACGGCATTGCAGGGTGTAGCATGAGTTTATTAGCCTAAATCCTAAATCAGCTAAATCCTGAGCTGATACATTTTATCCAGGTACTTAGCGTACTAAAGTTGGACTTTGAAATAGCAGCGTAGACACATATAACCCTATAAAACAAAAATAAGGGAAATGATGGATGGTGTACTCAGAAGAAGTGGTTTTAAGGAAACAGGATTTATTAACTTTTTGTTTTTGTGAGCATAGTCTCATTTGAGTAAAGCACACATGATAATCTCAAGTATCTCCACATGTTTTAAAAATCCGGCGACCACCCAAAGTGCACATTTACTAAGGGGGGGGAAAAAATAAATCAAACATAGCAACATACAAATTGACAAGATACATTCTGTGAGAAGGTTGTTAAAACTGACTTGTGAATATCTTACTAGGACTTCATTCAGTCTGTTAATACAGCATTATGATGAGTTAGCAGCAACTTTGGAGTCACAGAGCAGTTCAGCTGGTACAGTAAAATTATAGCCAAACTCATCTGTATCATATCCAGTTATCTCTTCACCATAAACCACCTTTGCTTTCCAGATTATGCTGACTACATTTATATGCATGCATGCTCTTTGCAAAAGAGAAGGGAAAAAGCCTAAAGAGCCCTGCCAAAATAGAAGAGAGGGCAATTTCAGTAGGCAAACAGTAATTTTGTTCAATATACCTTAAGAATCTATCAACTGAGGCACTTGCCTGGTAAAGCAAGTCACTGCAAGGTCTGAGGTCAGCAGTCTCTGAGGCACATTTTTTCCTAAAGAAAAAAAAAAAGAAAGTAAAAAAGGAAGTAGATATTCTACTTTTGCTGGTGGAATCATGCTTTGCAAGTTAAAGATACTACAGATGCAAACGTTAGATGCAATTCTGTAAGGGAAAATAATCCCAAGTTAACACATCATTCTAGTGAGAAAACAAAAACTCTCCAATCATTTTTCTCATGAGCCTGAAACTATGTTGATGGATTGAAACAAAAAGACAAATTGAACGGTCTGTATAGCATTACTATTTGGAATATGTCTGAGTGACACATAACTTGCAAAACAATCCCCAACAAAATCTTCCACTGCTTTATAAGGCTAAAACATACTGAAAGGCATAGACTTCTAAAAAAAAAAAAAATAGAGAGCAGAATTGACTTTATATGCAAATAGAAACATGAGAAAGAGCCTGCCAAGGCCTTCAGTTTGGATGTCTGACTTTTCTGATCAGACAGGAAGAGAAAGGAAATAATGCCACTTAATTATAACAGTGTTTTCTGAAATATGGTAATACTTCAGCTAAGAATGAAAAGGCTTTAAATCTCTTTTAAGAAAAGTGCCCAAGAATTCTTTATTGTAGAAAGCAATGCTTCCATACACAACCTCACATCTAAAATAGACAGCAAGACAAAAAGCATTACCGTATTTGTTTGCATCAACAAAACACAAAACATAAGGTATGTCTCATGACAACAGCCAAAGCAGAGTGGGAAATGGGTACATAAAGGAAGATGTGGCAGAAAACCTTAAACACTGAAATATACCTGTGAGAGCTTTGTATCCCAAAAGTACCAAGGATATAGTTTAAAACACACATTAAAACTTGGAATGAAAGTTCATAGTTGTGCAGCTTACGTAGCTTTCTAAGACTTTTTAACTCATTCTTGAATGTGAAAGCTACCTTTAAACAAAGGGAGATCGAATTCATAACTTAAAAATGAAAACAGCAGGCTATACAATGAGATCAGTGAGAAGGTACTTTACTGGAAAAACCTGAGAATTCTCATAGCTTTTACAATACACTTTAATTCAAAACAGGTTGACACAAAGGAACACTCCAATTTTGTCCATGCTACTAACCTATTTAATGGCAGAACTGTGAGAAAACAGGAACAAAGTGACAGTTACTAGATCTGCAACCCTTCTCTTCTTGGTTGTTTATCCAACCCTGAGCTGTTATCAGTGCATTGTGCTTGCTACTCCATGTTGTCTCCTGTCAGGCCAGTTGCTAACTGATAGTGAACTGTACTTTTCATCACGACACCTGACATTCTCATTGCAAACTCTGAGTGGGCCAAAATTCAACTGACTATTGAGTAGGAATTTCTCGAACTCTTCAGGCAACCCCTTTGCAGCATGAAGAAGAGCTAGTCTGGCTGGGGCAGTAAGGACGCAGACCCACTCTGGCCATGAAACACACTCCTTGTCTTCGAGATCAAAAATTAATTGAATTATCTGCAGCTAACGTTAAGTAAGTAACTTTTATTTTATGTTAATTTTTCACTACAGCCGAGTTTTGCCGGGAGGAAGTTAATGTCATTTTCTACTCCAAAAAGAGAGGAAAACCTTGTAGAGGCTGCTCCTT